CACTGAGTATCTGTAATGAGATACTTCCTATAAGAGATGAACATGAACACAGTAAAACGCATGTGTTTTTGTTGACAGTGAATAACAAAGGCTTACGCGATGCCAAAATTCCTCACAGCACTCGCTAATATCCTGACACAATTAATTTACCAAGTTAATTAGCTTCCCTTCTCCCAAAGCACAATCTTGGAAAGAGAAGTACAATAATCACAAATATAACAGTAGTGATGAGGAAAACCCTTGACACTCTGTCCCTCGAAAGTAGTATAATCAGATCTTGAACAATCAGGTTATAAGAAGAGTATACTGAGATTTCTTTTTTTTTTGTACCCGAGATTGAACTCAGGACCTTGCACTTCCAAGGCAGGCAGTGGAACCACTGAGCTAAATCCCTGGCCCCAAGAGTATACTGAAGTTATCAGGGGAAGTATAAAGAAGCTAACTAGGAATTAGAGAATATCGTTAAAACAAATTTATAATTGAATAGTTCTGCATGAGTGAAACTATTACATATGCATATGTCAAGAGTTTGCTGACTGAAAATCTCAAAATAATTTGTCTGTCGTTAAAGCATTTCATAGAAAACATACACAAAAACCCATCACGAAAGAGCTATACCATGGCTACAAAACTATGGTAACCAAGACAGTGTGGTGCTAGAATAAGGATAGACACATATAAATCAATGGAATTGAAAGTAAAGAAAAAAACTCATATGTACAACTGATTTGGAACAAAGGTACTAATACAATTCAGTTGGGGGAAAGAACAGTCTCTTTCAGTAGACAGTTCTGCAATAACTGGAAAGCCACATGTAAAAAATTAACTCATAATTGATCAAAGACCTAAACATGAGATAAAACTCATAAAATTCTTTGAAGAAAACAGGTATAAACTTCTGTGACCTTAGATTAGGTAATACTTTCTTAGAAATGACACCAAAACCAACAAAAGAAAAAATGAAATTGGTATTTCACCCTAAACAGATTAACGCTGTCTTCAACTTAAAAAAGGTTAATACTATTTAGCTTAACATTCACCAAAATTAACTTTTGTGATGAAAAGTATACCACAAAGTGAAAATACAACCAATAGAATGGAAGAAAATTTCTGTAGACCCTGTATCTCCTATCTTGTATTATGCATAAAAATTTTTACAGCTCAATAAGAGGACCCAAAAAAACTGGCAAAGAATCTGAATAAACATTCTCCAAAGTGCACAAACAGCTCATATGCCCATAAAAGATGCTCAACAAATATTATCAGCCATCACAGAAATGCAAAGCAAAATCACAAGGAGGTAGCAGTTCACGTCCACTAGCTTGGCTGTCATCAAAGTCAGATTAACAAGTACTCATGAAGATGTGAACAAACTAGAACTCTGACACACTGCTGGTTGGATTGTAAAACAGTGCAGCCACTTCGCAAAATTTTGTCAGACTCTCAGGTTTTAACAGTTACCACATGACCTAGCAATTCAACCTCATAGATACATATCCAGGAAGAAATGCACACAGGAGGGCACTGGTGGTAAGGCAGGCATCCATGTCTATATCTGAAATACTTAGCAAAAAAAGCAAAAGTGGTAAAAATAAATAAATGAAAAATAAGAGCTTTATCAGGACAAATAGCTATAAGCTATACAATGAATACTGATACTGATATGTACATTCAAAGAAATCACATTAAAATTCTGAACTCTTACACATGCTTAAATGTACTGAAATGCTTTTCACAGAAGTATGTAGTAATTCCTTTCAGGTCTTATTTTAATCCATCATTTTACAGCAATCAATATAAAGGAATTTTTGAAATAATCTTTTTTTATTCAAATAGAATCACATTCAACAATCAGCAACTGAAATGAATAGACACTTCTCAGAAGGAAAAATGACCAATAAATACATAAAAAATCTTTAACCTTGCTGGCCATTAGAGAAATTCCATCCTACTGCAGAAGGAATGGCTATCATCAAGAAAGCAAATAACAAATGCTGACCAGGCTGCAGGGTTAAGGAACCCTTCTATATTGTTGGTGAGAATGTAAACTAGTATTACTATGGAAGCTTTGTGCAGTGGCAGTATCATAGCCAATGAGGTTCACCCGAGGCAGGATTAAAGACATATTACAGTGATGTATGCATACCCATGTTTATAGCAGCATAATTCATAATAGCTAAATCTTGACAACAGCCAGTATGTCCACTAACAGATGAATGGATAAAGAAAATGTGGTATACATGCACAATGGGTTACTACTCTGCCATAAAGATAAATCTGAGTCATTTGTAGGAAAATGGATGCACCTTGAGACCATGTTAAGTGAAATAAATCAGACATACAAGATTAAATATGGCATGGTTTCTTTTATGTAACCAAAAATAGAAATAGCAAAATAAAACAAATAATAAACAAATAAAAATAGATAATAGGAAGTAGAGAGATAGTCTTCCAAATGGGAAGGGGATCAAGACGAAGGTAAAGGGGATGATGAAGAATTGTGTTATGTACATGTACAAACTTTACACAATGAATGTAAACAATATGAACTGAAAACATGTACTACTAATAAAAATACTGAAGAAAAAGTCAAGGTCACGTGGTTTAAAAATTTCTGAGCTGGGTTTTGGTCTCAATTCATTGTCACCAACCACTAAAATAATGTTCTTGATCTAGGACCAAGTGATGAGAAAAAAATACAGGAATTTGTTTTCATTGGTTTTCAAAAATACATTAAGTTTTATTTTAAAATGTCTTTTAAAAACCCTGTGTAAATAACCTTGATTTTAAAACACAGTGGATGTAAGGAAAGCTGCTACATGATCAATCTCAGCATGCTGAGTATTAGTAATCTTTATATTATAAAATCAGGTTAGACTCTAGTCTCATCCCAGTGCTGAATTTACCTGCTGAGCTACCATATTCTTTCTTGTCCATCTCATCCTGCAAATAGCAATCTTACTTCTAAAGGAATTCATTTTTTCCTTTACCATGGTTCAAGAACTAAAGGTGCAGGTTCAGAAGATTATTCAAAATTTGTGGATTTTCAGTCCAGAATCCTGTATCTCAGAGCCTTTCCTTAAAAAGAGAACACCAATTTTTTTCATGTCATTATTTTGGCCAATCTTTCCACACCCATTTCTCTCCTGATGAGTACATTAGACCTATTTAAACAAAGATAAATGAGTGAAGCAGATACAGAGATGTTAGGGGCTGGGACTAATACCCACCACTCATCTACCTACAACTTACTATTCCAGTCTTCTCTACATCATGCTATTTTTTGTATTAAATTCTTTTATTGGTACATTGTAGGTATACAACACAATTACATTTCTCATTGGGAATTTTACCTTTATATAATGCATCTTGGTTCTTATTTTTTCCCCATTCCCAGCCCTCCCTTC